AAAAGGGAAAACACACTTCATCTCAGTTTTACTGGCACATCCCCCCAGTTACTTAAAAAAGAAATAATGCCGATCTCACACAGCCGTGCAAGGAACACTGCCCAGTTTGCTCCAGGACAACACTGCAACCTTGACGCTGAAATCTAGGAGAGTATCACAGAGGGAATAATTACAGACTAATCATGTCTCATAAACAATAAAGCAAAAACAAAACAATGTGTTAAATAGCAAATCAGTCAACATACTAAAAGCAAAATACAACATGACCAGATAGGATTTTTTATGGACAAAGGGATAGTTTAACATTTGAAAAATCAATGTTGTTCACCATGTTAACATGCAAGGGAGAAAAAAAAAAAAAAGTCAGTAGGTGCAGAAGAATCGTTTGATAAAACTCAAGATACATTTATGACTAAAATCCATAGCAAATGTGACTAGAAGCTAATTCCTTTAAGAAAGGGCATATATGGGGACCTGACTCTGGGGCCACTCTTCTTTTAAAAACTGGGATTTATTTGACATACAGCAACATTCCTAATGGTGAAATATTGAGCGCTTGTTTCAAGGTGTTTGGTAAGACACTATTTCTAGTCACACTGTTTGGACGTCCCAGTCAGAGCACACGGGCAGCTGGGTCTCAGCAGGTAAACAAATGCTCCTGGAGACTGCCAGTGATGGGCCACTCCTGGAGATGACTCCCACAGGTGTGGCAGGATTAAGAACACGACTTCGGGACAGAGAGGCCCCTGGAGGAGTGTCTGTGGGTGCCAGGATCACTGGGGCAAATGGGAATCTGGAAGCTACCCCCAGAGAGTCGGTGAGGCAGTGGCAAGAACTCCTGACCCCCTCTGATTGTTCTGCCACCACCTTGCACCTGCAGCCAGCTGGCCAGGGAACAAGAGGTATCAGGACAAATACAAATCTAAATTGAAACAAAAACAGTCAAGTGTCCGACTCTTGATTTTGGCTCAGGTCATGATCTCATGGTTCGCGGGATCGAGCCTCCCATCTGGCTCTGTGCTGACAGCTCGGAGCCTGCTTGGAATTCTCTCTCTCTCCTTCCCTCCCTCTCTGCCCCACCACTGCTCGTGCAAGTGCTCATCTATCCCTCTCTTCCAAAAAAAGTCATTTTTCCTAGTGCAAGAAAGATAAAGAGATCTCCTCCCCCCCTTTCCTTAGAGACTTTGGGATTATGAATTCTTTCTCTGCTTCTCTGAAATGTATGTAAGACTTTATAAGCTAAATTGACCTGTTGCCAGCGGGATCACCCAGGCATGTTCCCTCAAGGACCTGGGAGCCATGGCTTTCAAATGTCATCATCTGGGAAGGCAGCGCCCCATCACCCAGTTTCTGTGAGACAGAGGGAGCCTAACTTCACGGGCACCTGGCTCCAAGTTGCAAGCCTACTTCCTGTCATAAAATATGGGAAATTTACTTTTCCTTTGGATAAAGGCAATTAGTGAGCACAGACGTCCACCCTAATTTCCAGGTGAATTTGTGATAAACAGTGCTGTCAACTTCTTGAGGCTGGTTGCATCTCTGTCAAAAACCTATTGGCCATGTTTGTGTGGATGGTTTTCCACACAGAACTCAGTTCTGTCCCATTATCTATTCCTTTGCTAGGATCACACAGTCTTTATTGCTGTAATTGTATTGAGACTTAAGACTGTGTATGATCCCCCCAACTTGGTCTTCAGCACTGTTTTGGATGCTTCAGTTCCTTTGTCCATATAAATTTAAAACTCAGTTTGCCCAGATCTACAAACAAGTTTGCTAATAGTCTGATTGACATTCTGTTAATTCTGCAAATCAGTTTGTGGAGAACTGAAATCTTTCCTATGATACACCTTGCAATATGTCTCCATTTATTTATTTATGTCTTCTTTGGTTTATTTTACCTAGAGCATAGGTCCATTTACAGGTTTTGTTAGATTTATATCTAAATATTTAATCCTTTTGGGGGGGATATTGCAAATTGTATTTTTACTTTATATATTTTTAGAACGTTTATTTATTTATTTTGAGAGAGGGAGAGTGAGCAGGGGAGGGACAGAGAGAGAGAGAGAGAGAGAGAGAGAATCCCAAGCAGGCTCTGCACCATCAGCACAGAGCCCTATGCAAGGCTCGAACTCACAAACCATGAGATCATGACCTGAGTTGAAACCAAAAGTTGGATGCTTAATGGACTGAGCCACCAAGGCATCCCTTACTTTAATTTTGGATTTTATTTAGACATTGGTACTATATAGAAATAGATTAATGTTTTGTTTATTGACCTGTGATCTTTCTAAAGTCACTTATTAAATTATGGATGATTTGGGGGTAGATCCCTTTGATTTTTTTTTTCTCAGAGGTACAAATATTGTCTACAAATACGGACATCTCTTTTCCTTTCACATTTGCACATCCTTCTGTATTTTTTAGTCTTATTGCCATTGTTAGAGTTTCAAGTAAAATGTTGAATAGATGTGGGAAGACTGGATATCCTTGACTTTTTCCAGATCTGAGGGGGAATCACTCAGCTTTTCACCATGAAGTATGATGTTAGCTGTATGTTTCTCCTTATCAGACTGAGGAAGGGTCCTTTTATCCCAAACTCTCCAAGAGTTTTTATCTTCACTGGATGCTGTAATTTGTCAAATAACTTCCTCTCTCAATTTACATAGTCATGTGAATACTCTCCTTTATGCATCTGACATGTTGGATGAAATTGATTCATTTAAAAATGCAGAAGCAGGGTGCCTGGGTGGCTCAGCCAGTTAAGTGTCTAACTCTTGATTTTGGCTCAGGTCATGATTTCATGGTTGTGGTATGCTGACAGCATGAAACCTGATTGAGATTCTCTCTCTTCCTCTCTTTCTGCCCCTCCCTCTTCCCTACCTCAAAAAAAACAAAACAAAACTGAAGCAGGCTTGACTTGTTGGGATAGTTCCTGCTTTGTCATGGCATGGTATTATTTTCATATGTTGCTGATAGGATTTGCTGATACAGTAACACCTTGGATTGTGAGTAACTTGTTCTTTGAGTGTTACACAAGAAGAGAAAACATTGCTAATAAATTTTAACTTGATAAACAAGTGATGTTTTGCAATACAAGCAGTATGTGATGTCAAACATCACATAATCACAACTGAGTCCATGGTTCCTCTCTCTCTCTCTCTCTGTAGGACTGTGGGGGATTGTCTCCCATGCTTGGATGCTTGGTCTCAGGCCAAAGTGTTTGGCAGAAATCAGTGATTTTTAAGAATGTTGGAAGGTGTCCACAACTGGCACTCGTGTATTTTTGTCACTTCAAAGCACCTATGGGAAGTCCTCTGCTTCCAGACAAGAGTAAACTTAGGAAAGCTTTGCATCATTCTAGGTTAATCTGCCTGCAGATAGAGACCCTCTCCTCTGCTGCCTTATTGCTGGTTACATTAAATTCAGTAAATGAAAAGAGTTCATTAATTCTTTACTGTAGTCAACATGCGTGTGAGCATATACAATGGCCTCCATGCAGGAAAAGGTTGAAAAGAAAGGCAGTAAGAAAAAGGAAATGATTATGGTGCAAGTTAAGAAGGAAATCATCGAGAAGTACAAACGAGGTATATTAGTGGCCAAAATTGCAAGATTTTATAAGACGTCTACATCGACTATTTGTACAATATTAAAGAAGAAAGAAGAAATAAGGAGGCTAGATGCAGCCAAAGGAGTCATGAGAATATCAAAGCAATCGCCATGTGTTCTGGAAGATGTTGAAAATATGCTTCTGGTTTGGATACACAAGAAACAACTAGCAAGTGATACTGTGACTGAGAACTTTACCTGCAAGAAGGCAAAGGCCTTGTACACCGACCTTGCAAGTAAACTGCCAGGTACACCAAAGGAAAATGAAAAAGGCCTCAAGGCAAGCAGGGGATGGTTCAATAACTTTAAGAGGAAAAGTGGCATCTGTAGTGTCGTGAGGCACGGAGAGGCTGTGAGTTCAGATGCTAAAGCAGCTGAGATGTTCGCTGCTGAGTTCCAGAAGCTCATGGCTTCCGAGTGTTACCTGCCAGAGCAAGTTTTTAACTGCGATGAGATGGGGCTTTTTTGGAAACAGATGCCAAAGAGGACGTGCATTACAGAAGAGAATGCAGTGCCTGTCACAAGCCCATGGAAGACCATCTCGCCTTCTTGTTTTGTGCTAATGCAAGTGGGGGTTTCAAAGTCAAGTCCCTGCTCATGTATCATTCTGAGAATCCACAAGCCTTCAAGAAATGCAAGGAGAGAAAAAAGGAAAAAAAAAAAATTTAAAAAAAAAAAAAAAAGGGCGCCTGGGTGGCGCAGTCGGTTAAGCGTCCGACTTCAGCCAGGTCACGATCTCGCGGTCCGTGAGTTCGAGCCCCGCGTCAGGCTCTGGGCTGATGGCTCGGAGCCTGGAGCCTGTTTCCGATTCTGTGTCTCCCTCTCTCTCTGCCCCTCCCCCGTTCATGCTCTGTCTCTCTCTGTCCCAAAAATAAATAAACGTTGAAAGAAAAAAAAAACTAAAAAAAAAAGAAATGCAAGGAGAGCCAGTTAAATGTTCTGTGGAGGTTCAAGGGCAAGGCTTGGGTCACTCGTATCTTGTTGAGTAGATCAACGAGGTCTTCAGTTCTGCAGTGAAGAAATACCTTTTAGAGAAGAATCTGCCTTGGGTTATGGGTGATGCTCGTGCTTGGCCTCCAGGCTTTGAGGACGACTTACTGGAGGGATTTGAGTTCATTAAGGGCAAGTTCCTTCCTCCCAACACCACTCCAGTCCTCCAGCTCGTGGATCAGCAGGTCATTCAGAACTTTGAAAGGCTTTACACCAAAGCACGATTTCAGCGGTGCTTCGAAGTGACCAACGGAACAAATCTTGCCCTATGAGAGCTTGGGAAAAATCATTTCCACATTGTGAACTGCCTGAAGATCGTCTATAAAGCCTGGGATGGGGTCACCAAGAGAACCCTCAATTCTGCTTGCAGAAAACTGTAGCCTGGTTGCGTTCTTGGACCTGACTTAGAGCGGCTTGCTCATGAACAGCAGCCGCCAGTTGTCGATGAAGCTGTGTCCTTGGGGAAGACCAGGGGACTGGAGGTGAATGAGGACAACATTCAGGAGCTGGCAGAGGCGCATGGCCAGGAGCCGACACCGACGAACTGATGGGTCTGCATTGTGAGCAGAAGTTATGGGGGAGATCTCGTCTGCAGAGGAGGAGAAAAAGGCCAAGGAATCTCTCACTTCAAATGAGATTTGGTAGATGTGTAAAATGTGGGAAACAGTGAAACAGTCTATAGAAAAGCACCACACGAACAAGGCTGTAGCAGTGCGAGCAATGAATCTGTTTATTGACAACGCAATGCCACATTTCTGCAAAATTCTCAAAGGGAGACGAAGCAAGTGTCATTGGATAGGTTACTTGTTAAAGTTGCACAAAAAGAAAAAAGATTCCACGGAGCCAATAGACAGCAGTGATTCTGGTTGAGTGAAAGTTGGCCTACACAGTAACTGTCCTCTCTCTTGTCTCCCTCACACCAGCCACAAAGGTTTTCAAAGTAAGTGAAGGTCACTTTGTTTCTTTTTTTATATTTTGTATTTTCATTATTATTTTGTATTATATTGTGGCATTGTAATCATTTTTTATGTATATTTTTGGTTTGTGATATGAATCGTCTGAGTTTCTGTTATTTCTTATGGGGAAATTCACTTTGATATACAAGTGCTTTGGATTACAAGCATGTTTCCAGAATGAATTATGCTCACAAACCAAGGTTTTACTGTATCTTGTTAAGGATTTTAGCATCTATGTTAATAAGGGATACTGGTCTGAAGTTTTCTTTCTTTGTACTGACTGTACAGAGAATGTGGTCTCATGAAACACAGTGTGGAATGTTTTTATATCTCCTCATTAGATTTTGTTATTGATGATTTGTCTCTTTTTCCTTTGTCAGTCTTGCCAGCAATTGGATTGATCTTTTCAAACGATCTGCTTTTGCCGTTGTTCATTTTCTTTATTGTTTTTCTGTTTTCAATTTCAATGATCTCCATTCATCTTTATTTTCCCTTTCTTCTGATTGATTTTAGTTTATTTTTATTTTCCTTTTCTAATTTCTAAAGTAGAAGCTTAGGTTATTAACTTAAGATCTTTGTTATTTTCTGGTGTAAGCATTTAATGCTATGTGTTTCCTTCTAAGCACAGATTTTGATATGTTGTAATTTTGTTTTCAGCCAATTTTGCCTTAAAATTTGGAATATAGTTTCACTTAGTTTAGAATTCTAAGTTAATGGCTTTAAAATTTTCCTTCAGGGGCGCCTGGGTGGCGCAGTCGGTTAAGCGTCCGACTTCAACCAGGTCACGATCTCACGGTCCGTGGGTTCGAGCCCCGCGTCGGGCTCTGGGCTGATGGCTCGGAGCCTGGAGCCTGTTTCCGATTCTGTGTCTCCCTCTCTCTCTGCCCCTCGCCCGTTCATGCTCTGTCTCTCTCTGTCCCAAAAATAAATAAACGTTGAAAAAAAAAATTAAAAATTTTCCTTCAGCACTTTAAAGTTCTCACCCCTTGCCTTCTGCTTTGGTTGTTTTTCATGGAAAGTTTTGATGTTGTTATTAACCTTGTTCCTGTCTTCATGTTTTTTTTCTTTGCTGCTTTTAGGATTTTCCTCGGTTTTCAGGAATTTTATTTTGATGTGTCTTGATTGAATTTTCTTTAGTTTTATTCTTCTTGGGGCACTTTGGTATCCTTAGATCTGTTGATAATTTACATCAAATTCTGAAAATATTTTCCTTGATTCCAGTTATACATTATATTTACATACACATATGTGTGTATGCATGTGGAGATACATGTATACACACATATGTATGTATATGTTAGACTGCTCCTATTGTCTGTTACATTACAGGCACTTGGATTTTGTTTTTGGAGACATACATTATTCTGTGCTAAATTTTGGATGGTTTTTATTACTCTTCTTCAAGTTCACTCATGTTTTAATATGCAGTGTTAATCTTATTACCCGTATTTTTCATTTCACGTATTGTATTGTAATTTTTAAACTCCTGGAAGTTCAAAATACAGAACAGTGCTAATAAGATTCTTTTTGTGTTACATAAAAGTATTGTGTGTTTTATTCAACACAGGCAAGTTGTGAGTGGACCATAGCCAGAGGTCACTCACTGGTCACCTGGGCTGCAACATCATGCCCTTGGCCACTGCCCAAGGGATTTCTCAATTGCCTCCTCAAAATGGAAAGATTTCCTGGAGTAGAGAACCAAGGAAGTATTAAGGACTCCTGACTATTTAAATTAATTGAGCAGAGGTGGTAAGTGACTTTACCTGCGGGGTGGTGTTAAAAAAATGAAACACATGAAGAAAGACAGTGAGTCCTTGGGGGAGGCATACACTCATAGGGAATAAAATCACACACCAGACTAATGGAGGACATATACTCCCATGCATGGGCTCAGGAGCTGGTCCCTATGCTGTGTAGTCCTGAGCACCCTCTGGTGTCTTGAGTGACCCCCCGCCATGTGACTGACCTGAGCAACTGCTGGTGACCTGAGCGTCCCATGGTGGATCCTGAGCGCCCCCTTGTGTCCTTAGCTCTCCCTGGTGACCCAAGTGCCCTTTGGTGACCTGACCATGCGCTGGTGTACCCAGCGCCCCCTGGTGACCTGAGAACCCCCTCATGACCTGAGGTGCCCTGCAGCCCAGCACCTCCTGTTTCCCTGCAGGGGGGGGTTGTGTCTGGGCTCACAATGTCCACTAGCTGTGTCTCTTGCACAATAATATATGGCCATATCCTTAGTGGTCACTGAGCTCAGCTGCAGGGAGAGCTGGTTCCTGGATGTGTCAGCAGTGATGGAGATGCGGCCCTGTGTCTCCGTCTCTCTGTCTCTGTCATCTCTGCATCTCTTTATCAGTTTAACAAATGCTTTTAGTTTTATCTACTGTGCTGAAACTTTCCTTTTAGTAACCAACCAGTATATTTTAGAGAATGTTTTGTCCACCTTATTACAAAATTTTGTTATTATTTTACTGCAGGGTGGGTTTTAAATATGGATGCACGATTTTTGGAATTGAAGATTGTTATCACTATCACAGTGTTTCGTAAATGGTGTTTCCCCTGGGGTATGGGATTCATGTATTGAATTATTGTACCACAGGAATGGGAGTTTTCATTAAAAGGGTCCATTGCTCTTTTGGGGATATAGCTATACCAAAGCACATGCAATTGCCCACGTTAAAGTAGCTTTCTCCCCACATGTCTGATAACATTTAAACTCATATTCTCGGGGTGCCTGGGTGGCTCAGATGGTTGAGCGTCCGACTTCGGCTCAGGTCATGATCTCACAGTCCGTGAGTTCGAGCCCCGCGTGGGGCTCTGTGCTGACAGCCCTAATTCGGATTCTGTGTTTCCCTCTCTCTTTGACACTCCCATGTTCATGCTCTGTCTCTCTCTGTTTCAAAAATAAATAAACGTCAAAAAAATAAAAAATAAAAAATAAAATCATATTCTCTCTAATACTTTGAATTATAGGAAGAGAAATGGATCATTATTTCAAATTAAGTTTTCTCAGAATTACCATAAACATTATGTAAGCTTTTCATATGTGTACCAGCATTTTGTATTCAGTGTCTTGTGGGTTTCTTATTAACAACATGTGGCCACATTTTTGCTTATTCTTCTAGATATTATACTTCTTAATTCCTTTCCATTGTGAGGAACCCAGCCAAGGGGAGGATTCTCCTTCCTGTACCATACACACTGGAATGGCTGGCGGAATACTATAACATTTGAAACAAAAAATGAGCTTGGACGTAAGAGTCCAAGCTCTTGTCAGCATCCAGAAATAGACTAAAACTAAAGAGCATTTGAACTGAGGATGAAATCAGAATATCCCCCTGCATTTCCAAAGTGGCTTTCATGCACCCAGGATGGGAACAGCCACACAGCTTGTGAGGCTGGACTTAGGTGGGATGCTGTAATTCATTCAGACCAAGAAGCCAGGTGGGAGACGCCCACTCCCTGGAAGCAGTTGTGGACATAGTGGTAGCCCAGACACTGAGCCCCTGCCGTCCGCGAAGTGGTCTGAGTGTTTCACTCGCCAGGTTGGAGCTCAGAAATTACCCTCGCGGAATGTCAGAGAGGCAAGTGGACCCCAGGAGGAAGGAGCAAGATGCCACCCTATACAATGTGCCCTGGCCAGGGGTGAGGGCTCCTGTGATGATGTCTTGTAGTTAGAAGCCATATCATACACCAAGGAAAGAAGGGCTGTGGGCAATCTGAGGACCAATAAGGGAAGGTAACCCTGTAGAGATGGCAGAACATTTCAAGTATAATTTTCTAACATTATAAAATGGATAATATCTGTGGGTTTCAGTTAGTGCCGGCGTTTCTATTTCCGATGAGCTACCAGGGGTCTGACCAAGAACGTGTCGGAGAAAGAAGTAAGGGGAGACACAGCACTGATGCGCTGACCTCTCGGAGCACTTCCCACACAGTGTGAAAAATGGCATCATCTACATGGTCCAAACATCACACTGGGACTGAAACAGAAGAGAATGCAAGCAAGCAAGAAAGGGAGGTCCCCATAGGACCAGAGTGCCAGGAAGAGAAAGCTCCAGATACTGACAGTGGGGACCTCACTCCTGCTCTGCCCCTGTTTCTGGGCTGGTCCCTGTGGTAAGGGGCCCGAAGCACCCCCTGATGTCCCTAGTTCCCCTGGTAGGTCCTGTGCGCCCTCTTGTGGATCCTGAGCGCCCCTGCAGCCCGGCCCCTCCAGGTCCCTGCACCAAGGTTTGTGACTGAGCTCACACTGACTTTCCCTCACTGTGCTTCTTGCACAGTAATACACGGCCGTGTCCTCGGTGGTCATGGAGCTCAGCTGCAGGGAGAACTGGTTTTGGGCTGTGTCAGCAGTGATGGAGATGCGGCCCTGGAAAGCCGGGTTGTAGCTGGTGCTACCTGTCCAGTACCCGAGCCACTCCAACCCTCTCCCAGGGCGCTGGCGGATCCAGTTCCAGTAGTAACTGCTGGTAACGGAGCCTCCGGAGACAACGCAGGTGAGAGAGAGGGATTGTGAAGGCTTCACCAGTCCTGGGCCGGACTCCCGAAGTGTAAGTTGAGATAGGACACCTGGGGGGTAAGGAGAGTCATGGTGAGTCTGTCTCATCCCACAGAAAGGCCCTAGTCGATCCCAGAGCCCCCAGATCCTCACCCAGGGGAGCTGCCAGCAGGCAGAGGAGGGACCACAGCATCTGCATTTCTGTCTTCTGGATGGAGACCCAACACACTGGCCTTGGCCTGTGATGCGGGTCTTTTCTGGGAGCACCTCAGGTGATTTGCATGTGGGTCCTGTGGAGCAGGGGAGGCATTAAAAATGCTGAACCCGGGTGACTGTCGCCAGTTCCTGGTGTCCTGGTGTTGGGTGGTGTGGGGACCCACTGAGGCTGGTCCTAGTGATCTGGGCTCCAGTTCTGCCTGTGCTGATTTCTGGCCCTGTTTGCTTGAGAGGGTTAGTGTTGCAGTTGATGAAAATTTGGAAACCTTACCAAGTTTCTCTTATATTCTATTGTCAGGCTGTGCAACTGTGGACTAAGTTTCAAGCTCCAGGGCTAACTGTTCACAGAAACGGAGGATGAGGCAGTGGTCCAGAGTCCAGGCCCTTGACTGCCTGCCTGGTTTGGGTCATTCTCCTTCTCCATTCAGATATGGGGTCCTGGAAATGATTGTAATGGATAGGATCTCCAGTGCTCCATCTGTAGGAGGGGGCATTAGGAGATATACTCCAGAATTTACATAAGAAAAGGAGCTCATCCATATGAGGAGCAGGGCAGAAGGATTGGTGGCTGTGTCTGGACTCAGGTCATGAAGTTTCCCTGAAGGTGGAGAGGAGACACCCCACTGGAAAGGAGGTCTAGTAGACCTCTGCGTGTGGACATTGGCATTCCCATTCTATTTCCACTCTAGAGGGTCAAGAGAGTTGGCAGTCAGGCCATTACCTGCCAGGAGTAAAATGAATATCTATTCAGGTGAGAAACATGATATTTAATTTAAAAGTTATAACTTTGCCTGAAAAGTGGGGTCCCCAGTTACAAAGCCAACTTCCTTCAAGATATCTCTATAAGCCACAATATACAAAGATTCTTTAGTCAGAATTCTTGTGAGTCATTCCTAAATATGAACACTCTGCTATAAGTAGTAGAAGAGATCTCCAAAACAACTACACAGAGAAGAAGAAAAGGAAACAAAGACTTGGGCAGGAAATCTGCACAGAGAATGGAAGAGGGAAATAAACAATCTATGTAATACATTATCTGAGGTGGAAAAATACGTTAATAAAATGAAGGTATGAATTCAACCAATATGAGTAGAATGCTGTTAAAAGGGTGAATGCATATAGGAATGAAAAAACCACCTGGGAGTTTCTAATAAAGTTGAAATTATGTTTTAGGCTTAGAAGACCAAGTTGATATAATACCGGAGAACAACGAGAATTTCTATAGAAAGAGCAACACGATTAGTAAATACTCCATTGTGTTGATGTCCCACATTTTCTTTATTCATGCTCATATTAAGGACATTATGAATGAAGCTGCCATAAACATTCATGTGCAGACTTTAATGTGGGTATTAGTTCCAATTTACTCCCATAGATAAGTAAGAAGACATTTGCTGGTTTGTGTCCTAAGTTTGGTTCAGATCTGTAAGAAACTGCCAACATGTCTTCCAAAGTACTTATACCATTTTGGAGTTCCACTAGCAATGAGTTAGCTTCTTTTCCATCTACATATATATATTCCTTGGTGAGGTGTCTGTTCAGATCTTTTCTCCATTTTTACACTGGGTTGGTTTCTTATGGTCAAATTGAAGAATTCCCTGCATATTTTTTTTCAAATTTTTATTTAAATTCTAGTTAGCTAACATATAGTGTAATATTGGTTTCAGGAGTAGAATTTAGTGATTTGTCACTTACATGTAATGCTCATTATAACAAGTGCCCTCCTTAATACCCATCACCCATCTAGCCCATCCCCCACCCACCTCCCCTCTAGTAACCATCAGTGTGTTCTCTATAGCTAAGAATCTGTTTCTTGGTTTTCCTTTCTCTTTTTTCCCAATGTGATTGTTTTTTTTTCTTAAATTTCACACATGAATGAAATTATATGGTATTTGTCTTTCTCTGATTGAGATATTTTTCTTAGCATTATACTCTCTAGCTCCATCCACATCACTGTAAATGGTAAGATTTCATTCTTTTTTATGGCTGAGTAATATTCCCTTATATATATAATATTCCATTATATATGTGTATATATATATGTATATATACACACACATATATATCTATGTCTCACATCTTCTTTATCCATTCATCAGTTTATGGACACTTGGACTTTTTCCTTAATTTGGCTACTGTCGATAGCGCTGCTATAAACATTGGGGTGCATGTGCTCCTTCACATCTGTATTTTTGTTTCCTTTGAGTAAAAACTTAGAAGTACAATGCTGTATCAGAGAGTAGTTCTATTTTTAACTTTCTGAGAACCTCCATACTGTTTTCCAGAGTGGCTGCACCAGTTTGCACTCCCACCAACAGTGCAAGTGGGTTTCCCTTTCTTTGCATCCTTGCTGACGCCTGATATTTCCTGATTTGTTAATTTTGGCCATTCTGACAGGTGTGAGGTGGTATCTCACTGTGGTTTTGATTTATATTTCCCTGATTATGAGTGATGTTGAGCATTTTTTTCATGTGTCTGTTAGCCATCTGGATGTCTTCTTTGGAAAAGTGTGTATTCATGTCTTCTCCCCATTTCTTCCCTGGATTATTTGCTTTTTGAGCATTGAGTTTGATAAGTTCTTTATAGATTTCGGATACTAACCCTTTATCATATATGTCATTTGCAAATATCTTCTCCCATTCTGTAGGTTGCCTTTTAGTTTCCTTGATTGTTTCTTTCACTGTGCAAAAATGTTTTTATCTTGATGAGGTCCCAGTAGTTCATTTTTGCTTTTGTTTCCCTTGCCTCAGGAGACATGTCTAGTAAGAAGCTACTAAGGCTGATGTCAATGAGGTTGCTGCCTGTGTCCTTTTCTAGGATTTTGATGGTTTATTATCTCACATTTAGGTCTTTTATACATTTTGAACTTATTTTGTGTATATTGTAAGAAAGTGGTCCAGTTTCATTCTTCTGCATGTTGCTGTACAGTTTTCCCAACCCCATTTGTTGAAAAGACTGTCTCTGTTCCATTAGATATTTCCTGCTTTGTTGAAGATTAGTTGACTGTATAGTTGCAGGTCCATTTCTGGATTTTCTATTCTGTTTCATTCATCTATGTGTCTGTTTTTGTGCCAGTACCATACTGTGTTGATGATTACAGCTTTGTAGTATAGCTTGAAGTCTGGGATTGTGATGCCTCCAGCTTTGGTTTTCTTTTTCAGGATTTCTTTGGCTATTTGGGGTCTTTCATTGTTCCATAAAACTTTTAGGACTGTTTGTTCTAGCTCTGTGAAAAATACTCAAACATCTACTCAAAGAGCAGTATTAAAGGCCACTATTATGGGTTTACAACAATTTCCTAACCAACCTATTAATATTGTAGTAGATTCTCTTTTTTTTTTAGTTGTCCTTTCGTTTATTTATTTATTTATTTTTTATTTTTTATTTTTTTAAATTTTTTTTTCAACATTTATTTATTTTTGGGACAGAGAGAGACAGAGCATGAACGGGGGAGGGGCAGAGAGAGAGGGAGACACAGAATCGGAAACAGGCTCCAGGCTCTGAGCCATCAGCCCAGAGCCTGACGCGGGGCTCGAACTCACAGACCGCGAGATCGTGACCTGGCTGAAGTCGGACGCTTAACCGACTGCGCCACCCAGGCGCCACTATTTATTTATTTTTTTTATTTATATATGAAATTTATTGTCAAATTGGTTTCCATACAACACCCAGTGCTCATCCCAATGTAGTAGATTCTCAATATGTAGTTTATGTGATAGAGAATATAGAACAGGCCTCTGTTAGGGAATTAACGGATCCCTCCTTATTGTCATTATTTTTAACTTTACAAGCCTTACTAGGTGAACAAGCATACCCTCTTTTTATCACTCACATAAGAGCACATTCAGGTTTACCTGGACCTTTAACAGAAGGAAACGAGTTTGCAGACCAATTTGTTGACTACAATATAGCTTTTAAAACTGCTCGATTATCTCATGACTTTTTTCATCAAAATTATAAGTCCCTTATTAAACAATTCCATCTCACAGTTACTCGAGAGAAACACATTGTTGCTGCTGGCCCTGACTGTCAATAGCAATCAGGAGGACACAGCAATGGGGAATAAACCCCACAGGTCTAAATGCAAATAAGCTTTGGCAAGCTGATATGACATACTATGCCCCATTCGGGCATCACAAATATATCCGCATGTCTGTGGAAACCTTTTCAGGATTTATAATGGCCTCTATTCACACTGGAGAAAGTGCAAAAAATATCATTCTTCATTTTTTTACATGCACTTTCACAAGCCAGTAAACCTCAACAAATTAGAACTGACAACAACCTGGATAACTTTCCTCCATGGTAAAGGCATTCTTCCAAAGTTGGAATATACAACACATTATGCGCATACCATATCACTCTACCAGACAAGCTATTATAGAATGTACACATGCCACTTTAAAACAAATGCTTCACAAACAAAAGAGGGAAAATACAAAATGCTTCCCCATGGAATTCACTACATAAAAACTTCTACATTCTAAATTTTTGGAAATTGTGATTCCCATGGCCTCACAGCTTCCCACCAGTATTTTGCACCATCTCCCAGCTCAAATATCAGAGCCAAGGTGCTACTTAAAGACATATATTCATGGAAGGGACCATATGAACTGATAACATGGGGACGGGCATATGGATGTCTTCTTCTCCCATCAGGATCCCACTGGGTTTCTGCCTGTCTGATTAAACCATACCAGGAGTTGATTCTTCAACTCTCTTCCTCAGATGGCCAATTTGTCCTTACAAGGACAACAGGGGAGACAATGCCCGCAAACGACCAAGGTATATGACGTCACCTGGGACAACTTAAGAAGCTCCATCGACATGCCACCAAAGTCATGCACTGTGTCAGAGCGCCATCTACCATAGAAAAAATGTTTGTAGCATATATTTAGCTGTGGTTTCTCAGAGTTTCGGTAAGGTAATGATTTGCTTAATCTTTTTCTTTATCCAGACTGCTACTACTTTTTCATCACCGTGTTGGCCTCACATCATAGATCCTCCT